TGTTGGGTCATCTCATACAGTAATCTCAATTACTGCCGTAAGGCACCTGGAAACAGCCTGTCAGGCAGAGCTCATTACAGTAGCCCTTGGCAGTATGACCCATGCGAGTCAACTTGCACAAGCATCTAGCAAAAAAGCAGCTGAACGTAAACTACTCATGATGGTAAGCTTTAAAGTCACAAAGGACATTCACAGCAGTAGATTGATCTTGGATGAGCATGTGACTAACCATTAAACAAGCAGCACCCACAGTGGTCAGAAAAAAAAACACAACACAGCTTGAAAAACGTGCCTAACTTGCAGCAAGGCTTACAGCTTCGCAACATGACAAACTGCAATCTGAAACAGGAAAAAAAATAAAGCAACTTTACATACTGTATTCCGTAAAAAAAAAAAAAATTTATCCCAGTGCAAAGAACACTCTGAAGCAAGGTAAATGCGACAAAGCAAAATTTGATAAATTAAATAATAAATTAAACTTCCCCTGTGCCAAGGATAGCCCGAACTTGTGTACCATGACATTAACTTTGGGCTCTAGATATGCATTGGCTAAAGGCGGTCATGTCCTGCACCGAGACATGTGATAAAATTTTTGCCCAAAAGTACAAAGAGCCATATGCACTGAGAAAAAAGTCCTACTGTCCATTGGGCACCGGTCTAGCTATTGAACGACTGCACCTGACTAGAATATTCATGAAATACGGTTATGTAGCTGTGTACGTAGCCACATAAACACAAGTACTTTTTATATGTTTTGTTATTCTGTATTTATTGTGTTCTTTGTATGTTTGCAAGTCTTGTTTATTGTTCCATATGCCGAAACATTGCCAGGAAGCTTGTCAACCTTTCAGTGGATTTTTGTTTCTGTCCAAGCACATCTCTGCTTACTTTTTTGTGAGGCGAAGAGATATGATATAAATAATAAAGTGAACCTTGCAGTCAATAACAGTGTAGCACTTGTGTTACAGTTCATGACGGACTGCGCGGCCAGCTATGCTGAAAGCAACGGGTCACCCCATTCCTGAAGCTGATTGGTAGGACAATTATCATTGAGATTAACTGTAGCTACTGCAAGAATTACCCATACAAGGAGAAACCATCCATCCAGAACTTGATTGTAAAAAAACAGCACTGGCACAGGGGACAAGAAAGACAACAGGACAATGCGCTGGCTAACAACATAAGCACTTATTTCGTGCGAACAAATATATAAACCTTGGAAATAGGGAAGAAGGTTTTCGCATAGGATAATGCATCGCCCCGATTCTGAGCGGCTTGCTTCTGGCCCGTTACTACAGGCAAATGCAAAATTTGGTCAGAGCAACTAGTTGCGTGAAAGTCTTTAGGTACGTCGATGGCTTTTTAATTTTTGTCGTGAGAAGACAACACGGGCAGCAAGGTTGCCGCCATATTTTAGTGCTTCATTGCGAACTAACCAGGACTCTCGTTTATGAGGTAGCTTCCAGAGAATGGTCAATTACGCTTCTTAGACCTCAAGATGACATTTAGTGCAGAGCACATTTGTTGGGAGTATTCACCTCGTGCAAAAAGCACTTGCTTCTATTTTCATCTCATCATTCTAAGCATGTCAAACAGGCTATCACGCTCTCTGCTTATAAGAATGCTCTGGTGAGATTGCATCAGCATAAGGTCGCTGCTATGTTCGAGTTTGCCAATTGTAAAAGGCACGAAGTTTTGATCAGTGCCTGTCCGGGTTGGCCGAAGTCATTTTGAATAAGCACCGCAAGACGAAAAAAAACCTCGTGCTGCAGATGATAGGGCAAGAGTGGCGGTCACAGCCTATCTGCAAAGTGTTTCACACAAAATCAAGGAGGCTGCAGCACGTGCTAGCGCAAGAGTGGTGTTCTAGGCGCCAGTCACGCTCGGATCACTGTGCATAAAAGTGAATGCACCTCGCCCAAATGTTTCTATTTGCAAGAAGCAACATGCTAGGAGATTTGTTTTGTGCAAGACTGAAGCTGTCTATGAGAGACCGATGTCTTGTAGTGACCGTCCTATTGGTCAAACGGGTCCCTGCGTGAACTACCAGCTTCGAGAGCACAAGAAAAATCTCAAGGACCAAACTGGGAGCAATCTGGCAATTCGCTGTGCCGCGTGTAGATGCACTCCTAGCTTTGAATAGATATGGAATTTATGTAAATATCACGATATCCACGTTCTGGAGATCTATGAAGAGTCCACAATTAATTCCATGGGGCTATCATGTGTAAGCGCTGCACTGTCCATCGTACTAACCGACAAGGAGAATAATTAGCATCGTGATTGAACCTCGCAGTTTTATATACTAGTCGAGATGCATGCGCATGGCCTCCCTTTCCTTCATTTTTTTTATTTTCTTTTTTTAAGGTGTTTTCTTTTTTTAAGGTTTAACGAAATAGATGCTCATGTTGTTAGCCAGCGTAAAGTCCTGTTGTCTTTCTTGTCTCGTGTACCCACACTGTTTCTTTCAATAAAGCCATGCCAACAAACTCAAGTTTTTACCCTTTTAAAATTCATCTAGAACTTTGTTTTCTTTGTCCAACACATGCTTATCCTACTCGCTACATGTACGAATACAAACGAACCTGAAACCACTACATGTAGTGCTAGGTGGCATATAATTCGCAAACAACAGCTGCCAACTATGCAGGAGAACAGACGCAAACGCAATACAGTTGGAACTCGATTTAACAAAGAGACATGGGTGCTCGCATTATTTCATTAAATGAGGAAATTCGTAAAATTGATGAAAGAATTTTCAAGTCCTTCTAAATCTCAAATTGTAACATAGCATTGCCTGAAAGCTTCTATGGCCTGTTATTTGCAAGTAATACACACCTGCGCATATGAAAAGTCCACGAGAACAACCTGAACATGAATGTCTCTAATGTCTTGACAGTACAGGCAAGGAAGATAGACGGTCATGTGAAGCTACAACACGCAGCCGATACTCAAAAACAGAGAGAGGGAATGCAGTTGATTTGCGAGCAGGTGAAGCAAGAACGTTTCAAGGAGATGGTCAGTGTCACGTGTTGTATAAAGCATTGAATAGTGAAAGCAACGACAGCATTCCAGTTGGAATATCAGCAGGGAATACAAACCACTAGTACTGGCAAGCACCATTTGATATCCAAAAGAGCTACTGACTCTGGCGGGCAGAGTCACAGATGTAAAACTGGTGTCATGAATGGGGTAGCAAGATATTTGGATGGCTATATGGCGGAAAGGTAATGGATGTGTGCTGTAACACAGTAGCATTACAGCTTCGTTAGACTGAGTATATAGTCATGAAAGGATTGTTAATTCGAGTAGATGACAACATTAAACTCTATATGTACCTAACGGAAATTTCTTTGTTAGATCAGAAAATTTGTAAAACAGGGTCTTGTTATATCAAGTTTTCTGTGTGTTTACATTACACTCAAGCAGCTACCGCTGAAGGCTCAAGATAAAGGGCCATATGTAGCCTACAAACACAAATAAAGAAGGACACAATGCATGCAACAAGTAGATACTACAACTGTGTACCACCGTGCATTACTTTGAAAATAGCACAGAAAGTTTAGACACACAAGACTGTGAAATAAAAAGGAATTGCTTGTATATCACTCAATCTCACACTGTGGTGGGTTGGTCAGTGTAGCTGATCAAAAAATGCAAAGCTTCACACAGCATCGCTAATAAGAGCTGCACTTAAATAATGCAGCTTTTATATAAACATACTACCATGTGCATATATTATACACTGGTGTGGATCAACACTTTTTTACAAAGAAGTTCGGAGGGATCGCATATTAAAATAGCCGTCAAGGATGATTACGGCATGCATGCTTACTACAATTAGTAGATTATAAACTATTGTAATCATAATAAAATCTCTTGTATAACCCTTAACCTTCTTCTTTCTCTTGAAGAAAAGACCAGTAACAGTTTGGAATAGGAACTTCATAAACTTGCCATGTGCTGTACGCTGGCACTAGGCATGCATTTTTTTTAATCAGGGAGGTCGGGTCGTTATGACATCTGGATCCCTCACCAGAGATTCTTGCCTCACTACACGTGTAAAACAAAATAGTCTTAAGCAAGCAAGTGCTCTAACTGTAACTTTCTAAATGAATAAATAAAATCTGGAGCAGTCTGCACAAGTTTTAGTATCCCTATGTGACAGACAGCAATAAGCAAATCAGTGCCACAGATGGTTTGCAGCTGCATTGTACACAACACCGCAGTGACAGGCTGGGAGGAGCAATGAGGAGTTCTCAGTAAATAGCATGGTTGGTGAAAAACAAGCACAGCCCTACTGTTAGGTTTTCTTGCACAACTCCATTTGAGAAATGGTCAACCAATTTCCTTTAATGTTACATTGCAAGAAAAGTATAGGATCATGTCATCCTAAGTTTGAGAGTACAATGGGTAATAATTAAGTGAACATTTGCAGCTCAGCTTGCAAAATAGAAGCTTTTTCCCTTCGCAGTTAACACCATGACGACATGCAACATGGGACAAGAACCATAGTGCATTGTGCTTGAGGGTACAATCTGGGTAGTAAAGAGCAAAGTCTGAAATTATGAGTTGTACATAAACCACAATTCTTGTTCTATTTCTTTGGAGATTATGAGGAACATGAGATGTAGAGTCCTATGAATTAAAAGATATGTTGTCGTTACCCTTAAGCAATGCTAAAAGCTATGTACTCTGCATGACATGTAGCTGCAGAGACCTGCGCAGAAATCTCCAGCTCTCTTTTTTCTTTCGCATCTCTGTTAATGGGGTCCTAAAGCACCTGTAAATACTGTTGCCCACCTCGACCCGCCTTCTTCTATGCAATGTCACTGAGCACAAATGCTGGCAATAAAATAATTAAAATAGTAGATGTGCAAACTCAAGCTCTTTAGGCATGACCAAAAACTAGGCAGACCAGCAGGTGTTGCAAAAAAAGAACTGAACTTTTTTTTCAAAAAAGTGCAGGGACAAGGACACCAGTGAAGTAGGTCTTATCTCTAGCCGTGAGGTGGCTCCTCGGTGTGTACATGCATGTGACGGGCCAGCCCGCTGCTTTGGGTGAATCGCATGGGACAGCGGGTGCAGCGGTAGGGTCGTTCGGTCGAGTGGCACCGCAGGTGTCCTGTCAAGTGGCTGCGGATTCGGAAGGAGCGACCACACAGGGGGCACGGAAAAGGCTTCTCTCCAGTGTGCGTGCGAAGGTGGCGCGTGAGGTCCACCTTCCAGTTGAACGCCTTCGGACAGACGGGGCAAGGGAAGGGCCTCTCGCCCGTGTGCGTCCGCTCGTGATTGGCGAGGTAGCTGGCATTGCTCGACACGTAACCACAGTAGCGGCACACAAGCCGATGCCCCGACCCAGTGCGGGGATCCTTAGCTTTGGAACCTGGAGAGACAAGGCGAGGACAGCTGTAGCAATAGTGAACTTCTGCAAGAACTGCTTGCAGAACTACACCACCAAAAGTGCTTGGAGAACACCATGGTGAAATCTCTAACTGAGCACTGGCTATGCAAATGCAAATGATAGGGTATCTTGATTGCAGACTAGGTGAAAAAAAAATTTTTGTGCAAGCTACATCGAGAGCCGTTATGAAGAGCAGTTCTGATGTTTTATATTAAAGATCGATGAGTTGAAGAAAAGGTAGACTAACAACATTACATATGTGAGACTACAATGGCAGGTTTCACTGCAGAATAGAAGCACAACAATTCCCAAAAAGCCTGCTTGAAAATAGTAAGCTTATACCTAACCTTTGTAAATTACAGGAGGGCACCCTTCTTTTTACAGCTGAACACATGTGCTGTATAAAGCTGCATAAATTATAAAATAAGATCTAGAAGAACTAGCTGGCTAGAAGACAAGCATGAAACCTTATGAACAAAGCTAAAGAAATGCAGTAAGCAAAAAGCAGTAAGAAAATTAAGCAGTAAGCAAATCATCAAATTCTTGTTCCAATTCTTGTTCAAATCATCAAATTCTTGTTCACTACTAGGAACAAGGGCAGTAAGAAACACCAAAAAAACAAAAAAATTGCTTTGCGCTGAGACACACAAAGAAAAACCACAAAGATGCAGCCGATGCACAGGTACCCCAATCAGAAAAAATACAATCAAGAACAAGTTGTGGACAAAGACAAATAGCAAAGAAGAAAAAACATTGTTAAGGCACTTAAAAGTGAGAAATTTCTATGAATCACATCAAAATGGGCCACAATTCAAATGTAAGTGCGTGTATAAAAAACATTCTGATGACGATCAAAACATAATTTCTAACAATAAACAAGCAAACATTTCATTCCTCTTCTGCTGTGTACATCTCAATAACTGTGCATAGCATACAGGCAGAGCACAAAGCTAATTACTTCATAAAGACAGTCACTTACAAAATGACAGAAAGTGACAACACGAAAAGCATTACTGATAAACATAATAACGGGGAAACATTTATAAATATATAGCATAGATAGCATAGCATCAGGTTGTGCCTAACCAGTGCTGCTTACCACTCTGTGACACCCTGAATGACACAGAGATAATGCTGACAATGAAAGCTTGTGCTTCTTCAAACACACACGTTTGAAGGGGGACGAGCCCAGAACACTGAAACACACAGGGCTCCAACGTTTTAAGTTTCACACATGGATGCATTGCATTGGTTTCATGCACACTTTCTTTACCATCAAACACCAGTTGCTTAAGCCGAAATTTGAACTCAGAAGAAAGTTAGAAGAATGAATGGTAGTTTCTAATAGAAATCTGTCTGGCTGAAGACGAAATTGTCGCACATACAAACCACGCCAGGAAACCTAAGTAAGCCCACAAGAACGCTTCCAACTGCATACGTGAAAGGTTTTTGAAGGCACCAGCAGAAAGAATAAAAGAAGGATGTCTACTCACACCATTAAAAAAGTATAAGTGGAAAGGACAACATACAAGTATTTAAAGGGGCCTTGCAACACTTTCTGAGCAGAAAATACTGCCGATCGGTAGTCGAGGCTTCTGAGAACACGCGAGCCAGATATTATAGTGCAGCACGGGGCCTAGGATTTACAATAAATTCTCAAAGTCAGCTAAAAGTCGCCTTCTCTTTTGTCGATAAATGACCCCACAAGCTCAAATGTTGCTACACCACAGGCCTCTTCTCTCAACAAATGATGGTACAAGCTCAAAAGTTACCAGTCAAAGCTATTGTATCAGCCATTGACTGATTGAGCATGATGTGCTTATCGTTACTGGGACCATCACAGGAGGCCGCAACTTGTACACGTGTACGCGCACAATCGCACTGAAAAGCCGAGAAAAAAAAAGTACTCAAGGTTGCGAAGTGCACTTAACGTATTTTCTTTTCCCATGCCATCCCTCACTGTTTAGCTTCCAGCGCTTTTGTCGGGACGAGAAAAGAGAGAATGCAGTTGCAGTGTGTAAGAAATCTTCGTAACTCCGCTCGAACTGGAAGGATTCTAACAATTTTTGCTGTAGCGAAACCATGAGGCAATAGGCTTCTTTAGTAAAACCATTCTGTGGTTACTTGAAAAAGTGTTGCACGGCCCCTTTAAAGAAATCACCCCCTTGTCAGAGTGCCAACAATTATAAACATACTCATATAAGTATCGATGAAACTTCGGGAAGGTAACCATGGCAGGCATGACCTCAAACATAGCCATCTTGTGAGCTTTGTGCTGCATGAAGATCTTATCTCTTCAACATGTAATCCCCAAGCTCTCTCGTTTTTGCATTTTTTCCAAGTGAAAATGAAAGTAAGGATGGGTAAAACGGTAGATATCTATGCAGATGTTTGAGAGCTTTTAGCCTGGTTAAACTGGAATGCTAATAGAAAAACGACCATCACGTACTAATAGAAATGAAAAAAGAATGAAAATTTTACTACAATGCTTACTACAATACACGAAAGTCTTGGTATTAACACCTGGTCTCAGTTTGGTTTGGGAGAGCTTTGAGAGGGACAGGCCACCATGTGCAACCGACACCTGCTAATACGTGAAAAGGCACATGGAGCTGTGGGAGATTTCCACGATGACTGCATTGTCTGCTCACGTTCTTTTGCCTGCCGAATGTGCTGCGCAATGTCCTTGTAGCCATTGTTGTCATCTGGTGGCAAAAACTTTTTTCAGGCTTCCACACATCTGCTGCTTACAGGAACTCGTGATGTAGCCTACTGGCGCAAGCGCGGCAAAAGCGCCACGGCTACTCGACGTCTTCATTGCTCGCTGCACCAGCTTTGAGCTCGGTTGCAGTTATGCCGTTACGGCCTTAGATGATGCCGATGTAGCGAAGTGCAGCACATAACACTGGATTCCACATGTGCACCTTCTTGATTCATAAAAAAAATCACCTACCAAGCTACACTTGCATTTGAGTTTTACAAGATATACAAACGGTCACGAGAATCATTACCGTGGGCCATCTCAGCTGTGAAATGCTGTGTCAGTACCCCTTTAAATAAGTGTGAAGATTTGCTTTGCATCTAAACTACAGAGGTTGCTTGTGGAAATGCACAAATTTTTCAACTACTGCACAATATTTTTGTTACTCATTTGTCTGTGTTAAAAGCCATCAAAGTTACTCATCTGCAACGTTTCTCTGCCCTTCAGTCCTTACGCACCATTGAAGAAGCAATGCTGCTTTTCTGTCAAAAAGTGCTCAGCACACTACATTAAAACAGTGGTGATCACTAAGCTGAGCATTGGGCCATGACAGGTGAACAGAAATGATATCATGAACGGGCACGCACTCTCTCCGTTCTCTTTTTCATCTCCTGCTTTGCTCCTGGAACATGCATGCCAATTTGTCCCCCATAGGATGCAATAACTCTGTCGGGCAAGAAAACAAGTACAGAAAGATTGAAATAAAAATGGACAGAGGCAGAAAGAAAAATTTGTGGCACAAAAAGAACACCTTAGTGAGGTGGGATTCGAACCTGCGTACCTATTGTTTGAAGGTGAGCATCGTAACCATCAAGGAACTTGAAAAAAAAAAAAAAAGCCGGCCCCATATTATATGTGAAAGAACTTTCTGTACTAGTGTAGCTATGATTATGTATATATGGCATAATTTAATTACGATGTAACCGTTACATGCTGCTGCTACTTTTTGTTGTTGCTATAAATCTGGTACAGATCACAACTTCATCTAATTTTGTTCCATAGCTGAGATCATGATCTGAACATGCCTGTCCAGGTGGAGCTACGTATTCCAATAGAGCGACATTAAACACTGTTTTTAAAATTTAAGGCAACATGTTTCACAGGGTTATTTTTGTTACTGTCTGCTTCGTGGTGCGCTGTGCAGATTTTGAAAGATTTGCAGCTCTTTCGATTCACATATTGTGACGACCCAGAGTCGACTATTAAATGGAGGTCGACAGACATAGGCTTTATGAGACTCTGCAAAAAGGCAGCCATGTCTTTTTCGTCCTTGTCCTGACCAAGTGTTCTCGCGCTACATTTTTGTCCTCGCACTGGCACAAACGCGGGACAATATAAACCTAAATGTATGTGCTTCCCATGTATGCTTTTTTTTCTCTTGAAGTTGTACAAAAGCCGTGACTGAATAAAATTGCGTGTCACACTTACTGGTGCCACCATGCACTTCATTTCAGGAGTGCTGCAAGTAAATTCTACGTGTTACCAGGCACACTTCAGCCCATGTAATCGGAAAGCTGTGAAATATACACTAACAGATGAAACAGCTCACAGCTTTCCGATCAAACTTTCAGTTGGTAGTAAGCGCTTGTCCCTGTCTATGTACCGCGCTCCTTTTTTAAACCATCAAGAATCTCGCCCAATCAACCTTTTGTCCAGTGTGCCCACAGTAAAATATGGGGTGATAGGAAAATGCATACAAGGTGCCCTGCTTATTAGAGACATCTCATACAAAAGACATGAATTGCTACTCTGAGAGGGTGAGACCTCATCAGGCTTTTAGCCTTTAGTGTTTGCCTCCCATAGGAAAATTCTGTATTTTTGTTTTCTGCAAATAAACAATGTTGATGTTGATGAGCATGCCTCTTCTAGGGGTTTAACCGTAGTTGAAAGGGTCACTAAAGCGAAAAAAGATTTTTCTCATATTAGTAAGTTACTCTTTTCATAAATGCAATATCGTCATGCTTGCCTAAACGAGATGCTTGATAAGCAAAGAAACATGCAAGAAGAATGTGAGTGATGATGCAACTTCCAAATTCCTGCACTAAACACATAACGTCATAGAATGTTATGCCTTATACTAGGTCCTACACAGTTTCTGGTCAACAAAGATGAAGTGCAATGGCCACTGAGGAGGTCACTGACTCAGCGTAAGGAGTAAGGAAATTTTGTAACGCCAATGTCGCCAAAATAGGAAAGATACACTATAGAATTTGTGACATCAGGCGCAGAGATTTCCGACTGTAATTTTGAAATAAAACTTTGATCTTATTTTTTCCTCTATTAATAGATCTATGATGGTGTAGTTAATGACATACATATTGTTAAAAAATAATTTAGCAATCTAAATCTATTAATTGTTTCCCTTTACTGCCCCTCTAATAAAAAAAAATAGTAATATCCGGGGTATTACATCCCAACACTACCACATGATTATGAGGGATGTCGTAGTCAAGGGCTCTGCAAATTACGGCCACAAGGAGCTTTTTAACCTGCTACTAAATCTAAGCACACGGGCACCAAACATCGTTACTGTGAGGCTCCTGTGAACCAAAGTACTTACGCAACAATAAAATGCAAAGTCACAATTGCCTCTAAACAAAAAAACGTGATTCGGACTATGTGTTGTGTCATCACAGTGCAAAGTGTGTTGTTGAGATTGATATGGTTACGATAACAAATGACTGATCTTGGCTAACTGCACCTAACACCCCACCCTCTTTGAACAGCAATTAGGTGACTTCCGTAAACGACATGTACAGCAATATTGCAGAACAATGGAGAAAAAATAGCTGCTCTCTCCCTGTTTCATGCCAAACAAAGTGAAACAAAGGCTCAATGAAAGCTACATTCACAACTCAACACTGTGTGCGCAGTTTTCAAGTGCCGCAGATTTGATAAGGCTATGTCAACGGACACACGAGTTCTTGAAACCTTCGCCCTGCCTCAATATTACAAGCTTTTCGAAAGCAGTAACGCGGCTGTTCTGGAATACCCTGATGCTGCAGGAAGTACGGACACGAGGTTGACCACCTGTCATAATTTTTTTAGAAGAGTGTTCCACAGCTATTCTTGTGTAGCGAATACTGGCGTGTTTGGCATTGGTGAGCAATGTGACCGTAGTCTAAACCCCATATTTGTACCACGGAGCACAAATATCAATGGCTACATTAGGACAGCTAACCTTGCATACCTCTCAGTAAAAAAATAATACTATCGCACATATTTTTTAGCCAATTATCAATTGCTCTTCCTCACATCCTGTTTCACTGGCTTCACAATGAAAGTAAGCTGGTAGTTTGTACAGCTGCAGGCACAAAAAGCAGCTGTCAGCATGGCCTTTGTGAAAGTCCCTAGGCAAACAAAACAAATGACTGAGGCTTCATTGAGCATAGGCAGGCAAAACTGATGTCAAACCGCCACAAGAAAATACCCCAAAACGTACACAAACTTGGGCTGAAAGGTGCGAGAAGCTCGCTTATACGATATTGCTGCCCGTGATGTGTCAGTTCAGTTCACAGATGCCATAGCTTTTTTTTTCATGACAGTTGAACGAACGCCTAAGCCACACAGAGCTTGTTTTCCGAACATGTTTTCATCAACTACTTTTCTGAGAAATAGATGCAACCTGACATTTATGATAAACCTGCTCCCTTGATTATTGCAGCCACTATGGCTCCCACACGCAAGTGCCTTAGGAAACAGTACTCTCATCTACTACTGATATCAAGCCTACTTCCTTTTTTTCAGGCCAGGTGCTCTTACCAAATGGGACATATAAGTTGAAAAGAGAAACTTTGAAATGGCCCAATTAAATAATCACTACTTGTCAATGACTGATATGCTTCTGCACAGCCATCATTGCCAAGGTTGGCCGCTGTACTTAACAAACACAAAAGGTAAAATGGGATGAAATAAAGTGCTACAATATACTAATACAGGCTATACGGTGAAAATATATTCCAACAAAGCTCGACTTCAGGAATTTCCGAATCCAATGAAGAAAATTGTGTTCCCAGGTTCAGTGTTGTAATCACTGCTGAACCCACAAGATTCAGTGTTGAAATCAACTCAGATTAATGTTACTTAAAAATGAATGCATGCCAGCTCGTTGGTAAGAAACAAAAAAAAGCAGATCTATTTCAAACATGGACTACGGAACATCACATGAGGACAGCGCTTGTCCTCGTGTTATAGTTCTTAGTCCGTGTTTCAATTAGCACTGCTTTCTTTCGGATGGATCAAATTACTGACGCTTCCAAGGCACTAAACCTAATCTAATTAGGTTTTCCAGAAGTATTTCAATGATTTCTTTCCTATTTCGACACAAATAGATTTTTTTTTGTGGTGTATGCTGTAACGATATCGCATAGAAGCATGTACCAGCCCTAGCTTTATTTTTACGAGACTGCACACTACACTCACACACGCAGCGCTCTTATGTACCAGACAGTACTAAGGGCAGTGGTAATTTGTTGGCCTCGAGACATCTCTCGCAGGAACAATACGACAACAGCTTTCATAACTTCATCGGTTATGTTGACTGAAAATCAGTGCAATCTGTCAATGTGGCACTCATTACCTGCTTGCTGTATTCATGCTCTGCCTGCTCACACAGACACGGCATATGCCCTCCCCATTGTTTCATACTGACACTTGTCATCACTTCCCGTGACCATCCACCTCAACATGAAAGGTTCTATGTCCAGGCCACCCTTGCATACTTTTCACACGTGCAGGCATGCATTAACAGCAATTAAAATGCCATGGTAGCTTCTGGGTGCCAATATGCACGTCTGTTGGATTCATTTGGTTGTGTCTGACGAAGAAAACAAGCCCCTCGAAAAAATTTGCTCTTCTTTCATTAATTAATGAAGTTGCATGCTAACCCCGCCAAGTGCATGCGGCGTACTCCAAAAAGAACAGTCATAAATAAAACCTCGTCACCACTTATGCTAGTGAAGGCTATCTCGTCATGTGCAGCAGGGGCTGTTTACTTAAAGCCCCTGCTGCAGCTGTAATAAGGCAACGGTAGGTCAAATTTCACTGCAATATGCCATGCTGCAAAAATGCGTCATCCATGAGGCATTAGGGAGTTTTCGAATAGGTGCCCCAAGAGTTTGGGACCCCAAAGCCCTTTGCGTATGGACGCTTTGAATCAAGAAGGAGCGATGAGTTTTCCAATAGGGTCTGTGGCACTTTGATCACTCCCGCTATTCTATGTCGCTCTAGTTTTGGCCGAGAGCCATCACTTCAGTGGGCGCCGTCAGGTTTGTCTGACCCAAAACAACTTTAGGGGCAGGCTTTGGGGCTGCCCCAAAGCCTGACCCTTAAGTTGTTTTGGGTATCCCGCTAAATTCGAGAAATAGCGTCCCCAACCTAAAACCGAAACGCGGTTTGGGTTTTGAGCATGCGCAGTGCAATGACGCTATTTCTTTGAGGCCCTAAAATTCGAAAATTCCCCATTGTTAAGCACTATGCGTATAACCTTGCACACTAGTTCGAGCAGCGAGAAACCAGTCGGCCTTGTGCCGAACGCGAAACGAGAGTGAGTGACATGGGCGCTTTGGAAACATTGTTGTGCAAATCAACGTAGGTGTCAAAAGCGCGCTGTCAACAGAACAGTTAAATAAATATGATTATGCGGCGTCAGCAACTGTGATCGCGCGCGATTACTGACGCAGTACGACAGGACACCGAGCGAACGAGGTCACAGAAGAAAAAAATAAAACTGCAACACAAGTTTACATCGAGCTGCACTCGGGAATTGTTCAAGTACGCAAAACTAAGGGGCTCACAATTAGCAATGAACGTTGGAATAGGCCGACAGCGAAGAGCACAGCACTGGTAACAGAATAAACACGGCTAAGAGGAAGTGAAGGCGTTCACACTTATCACTAAGTGTCACTCCGTTACAATTCGTTTGCAACCAAATCCCCGCTGGCAGTTCTCGTCGCTGGACGCACACTTCGTGGAGCGCGAACTGATCGCACAAGGCAAGGCACACGAGCCTTGCCTTTCGGCAACAATCGGAAACAATCGAAGGAAATGAGGTCCGCCGTTTCGTCAAGGCAGTCGCACAACGAAGCACCGATCTTGCGAAGCTGTTTTGGACACGACAGCAAATCACCGGTAATCCGTGTCAACACCTACATCACTGCACATGATTTGCTTGAGCGAGGAACGAGCTATGCACACGGAGAAGGAGGCCTCACAATACGCGAGCGAATTCACTTCCGCATTCGAGAGATCTCACAACCCACCAAACTCCCTCGACTGCTCCTTCCATCGCAAAGGCGATGCGCGCTGATGTCGATAACGGTTGGACGCGCTTGACGCTAGCAAGCACCAGTAACTGGTGGGCCGTTGTAGTTGGCCGTAGTTAGATCAATCTAGAATAGCCGTGGTGACGTTGTCACGAAGTTAGAATGTACGCAATAAAAAAGAAAACTAGATCATTCTTGCCACAGCGCTACTGCAGTGTACGGCGTTTAACTCAATCTGTGTAAATTTTATTTTTTTTTTCTTCACGTGCAAACCGTTTGAAGGAAACGCAATAGACAACTAAGTCATCGCTTTCGCCGATTTTCCGAAGTGTAAGCGACTTCAATTGTTACATGTTCTACCATCACAAAGCGTAAGGTAAGGCTAAAATACGGTGAAAACTTTTAAACTCGGTGTGTGTAGTATTTTTTGTGCGCTCGCAGCTAAACACTGGGGAAGAAAACAAGTAAATTCGAGAGAATATATGTTTACGACAACGATTGTCAAAACCCTACTGACTAAATAAAGATTCAAAGTAACGATTTCACCAAGCTTTTGTGTGAAAAAAAGAAAAAAAAGAAACCTCAATCAAAACAACAGCTGGTTTCGCCATCGGGGAGGAATCGAACCGAACGTGCGCATTGGAAACCGGGCTTTCGCGAGGGGAAAAAAGAACGAACGTCAAGCTATAAGTACTATAGCTAATAACTCAGACCTAGGCACATCATTCCCCGGCTAACAATTAAAATAGAATCAAAGAGCGATCAGCGCCGACTTTCCGGCGGAGGCAGCATCGCGCGAGCGCGCGGGCAGCAGGCCAGCTTGTTGCCATGGCATTGACGCATATCAACGTCACAACCACGCCACGTTCTCTAGACCAATCGGGATACCTCGGGATGCGAGGCACACCTCCGTGCGCCGGAAGAACGCGAGCTTTCTCTTGCTTTGTTGATGGTTTCAGTGACCCTGCGGCGTTTAGCGACCGTCAAAGCGCTGCCGCAGCTGGTGCAGCTTTGGGAGAAAAACCAGCTGGCCTAACTACTCGCTATGTTTGTTTGGCGAAGAACTACGACGTTAGGGCAGTGTTAAATGCACATTGGGCAGCACAGAGAGCTTACATCGTACCGTATTGTGCGAGAAGGTACCCCTCACGCGCGCGCGCGGATTACGTCTGTGGGAAACACCCAAACAAATGCGTGACGCCTCTCCCAGCCTCTCCCGATGAGGAGGAGAGGCGCATCTGCGGCGGTCTCTCGTGACTTGGCCGATGTCGGCGGCAGAGCTGTCGAACGATCGCTGCCGGCTGGATGCGTAACAACGTTGCTTCCTCCTGCGCATCAAATCGACTCTGTGAAGGTGTTGCGCTACCACAGCTTCGCAGATACTTCAGAAGAAAAGCGAGTGTGGTGTAAAACGAAACTAGACTGTTCTTTTCTCGAGCAACTCTTGAAAGCACATACCTTCGTGTAAACTGTGTGGTGCGCGAAGCGGACCGAGGAGACAGAGAAGTGCGGATTTTGACAGTTCCCAGCGACTTTCGCGCGGTCGTCGGTCATCGTAAGGGAGCCTGTACTCTGTAATCGAGCGGCCATGAATCTGTCATTCGCGGGTTGCGGTTTCCTGGGAATCTACCACATCGGAGTGGCCAGTGCGTTTCGGGAGTACGCGCCGCAGATATGCCTCAACAAGATCGCCGGAGCGTCGGCTGGATCGCTGGCCGCTGCCGCCCTCGCCTGCGAAGTGCCCTTGGGTAAGTGCGCTTCACCCCGCGTTTCATCTCCGTTTTCGTCTGCTCAGCATGTCTCGCATTGTGCGCGAAAAGCGGGCATCTCCGTACTTTTTCGCGCACCGCCGAAGAGCCGACCTTGACCAACACGTGCGGGTGTGCATCATAGCGTGTTTCGAGAGTATACCTTGTTTAATGGACGCCACGGAACCGTCAATAAAAAAAGGAAAGAACGTGCGCTGGAGCATTTCTTTTGCATTCTGAGCTGAAACCTAGTGTTGACGTGAGAAAGAAAGATAAATAAGTGATCACGCATGAAAGGAAAATAGAGTGGATAGTCTTTTAAACGTTATACTTACGTGTGAAATAAGCGTGCAAGAGTGGCAATGGTTTTTAACGTAATTAGCGATTGTAAATATTGAGGCACCGTTTGAATTCATTGCATTCCAGTGAGCTTCGATGCGTGTGGTCACAGTTCGGTTACGTACACTCTCGGTCTTCGTGAACGCAGTCTTACCATCACGGACCACCTCACAGACTCTGCTTTCGCAATCAGAAAGCACCTTACGGAATGACTACCTTTTGGTTCGTTTTGCTTTTCTTCTTTAGCCACGTTAATTGCATTCCGGATTGTCAACACGCGTTAACGAAAGCCTTATTTGAGGGAACAGCTCGTTGCTGCACGTGCTTCAATGAAAATAATATTCCTGATCGACGCTGTCGACTTTTCCAGATCTCGACCGTCGCGGCATTGATAGATGCGGAGCAAGGCTATGACAGGTGTGGAAAGCAGTCCCTTGTGTTTCTATTGTTTTCTTCTTTTTTTAAACTCTCAGTTGTCTTGCGTTAATTATTTCCCAGTCGCCGTGGAAAGCGTGCGGTTCGGCGTCGCTGGGCGCAGTGCGCCGTTAGTTTCAGCTACATAGTGCTGGGTAAGAAAAGTGCGCATTTGCGTGTCAACGCGGTGCTCGTCAAACTCGTGACAGCTGGGGCACAGCGGGATCGCTCAGATAGCGTGCGATATGTTCCGGTGACCCCTCAGCGCAGCGATGTTTTGAGTGCTCGCGCGTCGCAGAACGTGCTCGTGTTCGCAACTGTGGGCAGCGTAACACCAATGCTTCACCCGTCACACGAGTCTCTGTTGATTTAAACCACGGTGTTTTTCACAGTTGCGTCTGAATGTCAACAGACAGAGAAAAAGACATAGAAAGTTTGTGATCTCTGATTGGGGATCAAAGGAAGTGCCGTTTATTCTGGGGGAAGTGATTCTTAAATTCTGCATCAGAGTGCGACACCTCAACAGTGGCTCATGAGGGAAGGGGGTAAGGAGGAATTAAAAAGGATAGAGTGAGAAGTAAAGATAAGACAGACAAAGATGTGGACACGGTCGGAGGAGTCCGAGGACGGGATACCACTCAGCGAGAGCTTCACGGCGTCAGGAGATGGCGGAGGGCGAGCCGGTCGGCCAGAGCTGCAGCGCTGTCGTCGGAGATTGCAGAGGCACAACCGTTCGACACGGAATCCAGCGAGCGAGTTTTTATTCGGGCTGTTCTATATTCCGTTGTTTTCGTCTTGTGTTAAGAATAGTTTGCATCTTGTGCATGTCGCGTTAATTTACGCCATTGTTTTTCTTTGACAACAACACGAAACCAGAAAACAAGTCGTCCATGTGCTTGCTGTTAGTGACACCGTGTCTGGCTTCTTGCCAGCTAGAGTAACAGTTGCTCTACAGTGTGTAGTATATTCTAGGCACTATAGTTGCTCTATTGCCAGCCAGGGTGGCACCCTATCGCCAGCCGCTTAAGAACGCCATCTCGCGATGCAGTGTGATTCCGTATTCTTTCTTTCTTTCTCCTACAACTACGAGTTTTGCGATACCATCTTCGTCCCTTTTCCCAGAGCTTTAGATCACATAACAAAAATGCAATGCCGTCTACACCTGTTCATGGTGTCGGAAACCGTGTACCGGTTATGGAGCGACAATGAATCGACTACAGCCGGTGCTGCCTAATATATATAGCGCGCACCCTGCTCTAATTAGCAGGCCGTTCGTTAATGAGGCACACCTGTGACCGTGCAGGTATACATCAAAACTGCATCGTGTAATCGTGACTCTTTCTGTCTCACCCCCCCGCCCTCTTCGTTCTTTCCCAGTTCGTTTTTTTTTTTCTTTCTCGCTTCTTTTTCTTCAAATATTTACTACCAACCTACTGCTGGTAAACCACCACAGAGCAGTCGGGGTCGCGCGGGGACCCTGGGCCACACGTGCCCGAATACCTTGGTCAAATAAACTTTTTAGCACCACCACCTTTTGTTTTTTTCCCTCAAGATATATCCTCGAGCATATGTGCAGGCACTGAAACTTTTCAATTGACGCATTTATATCGTTTTGTTAGTACGTCAGTTCTTATGCAATGTCTCATTCTGGGTATTCTTGATATTGTGCCTGTTTTGTCTTGACTACTTGTTCTCACCGCTCTCAAGATAACTGTACGTAATATTTTGTAGTGGTAACAATCTGGCATTATTATTGAGATACTCACTAAAGCAGCGTCGGTGGAGGTCACGGGGGCGCTGAAGCCCCACCCCTAAATATTTTCCCTGTCTTCATTTGCTTCCCCCTCCCTCCCAAAGAACGACGCCTGCGTTCTCCGCTTCTGTGGCCCCATGAAAGAATTAGCCCGTCCGTTTTCGGTGCCCCCCCGCCCCTCTTGGCTTAGTAACAAAAAAAAAAAAAATCCTGCCGCCACCGCTGAGTATACTCCGCTTTCTGAAATACTGAATGGTCAATTGAGCTTTCGAAGCAGTTTCTTTTTTTTTGTTTTTTTTTCTCACGCAGCACTTCGTCTGTATTTTGCTTGGACAGGAGAATATAAACACTTCATTTGGTGTATCGCTCTCTCGGTCTCGTTTCAGAGCCCGTGGTTTGAATTGCGCGTGGTAAACGTGGCTTCTCAAGTTAGAGCAGAGCGAGAGAAGGAAGCAGCGAGATCTGCACCGTCGTCCTGGGCTGGGTTGGCGCGGCAAAACTCCCTGCTGGCGAGGGAGCAATCGCGCCACTGGCCGTCCTTGTGGGGGCGCCGGGGGGGGGGGGGGGTGCGAACAAACCACCCTCTCCTTGCCCAAGGTCTGCCGCCGATGGCTTTCTGGTAGGCCAAGAGCTAACCGTTTTTCTCGGATGTAGCACATACGCCCGTTGCCTGGAAGTCACGCCGCGCTGACCTTTTATCTGTGCCTGTGTTAACCTTTTGAACTGGAGTGAAAAAGCGCCACAATGCTGGGCTGCGTGCGGGAGTACAATGCTTGGGGTGTCACAGCATCGGCAGTAGATTTTTGATAGAGAGGACTTAGGCGGCGCCCAGGAAGCCGCCGCCCACGTAGATGTGGTAATGCAAAGCAACCGCACGCACCACTGGCCGTTTGGGGGCACATACAGACGGCACTGCAATGTTTACGCGCTGGTTTGCTGCCCCCCCCCCCCCCACCCGTGTGTGTGTGTGTTATCATGCATGTCCGTGCTAATGCGGAGACAACCCGTCATGAAAACCGGCAGCTCTCAAGGCCGAAGATAAACGCGCGAACAGAAGCAGCTCTCAGCAGAATTCTCTTACAATGTTTCTCATTCGTCATATTTGCCCATGGCAGCCGTGCTATAGGGTGTTTATTGCTTGATAGTAGTACGTTTCTGCAGAATGTTTTCTGGTGGTGGTGGTGCGGAAGTTCAACAAAAAGGAATTAAGCGCTAGCGACAATAACATTCCGTCTCATTCGCCCTCGAGGGATTCCTCTAGTTCAGAATTTCTGCGGAACCGCGTGCCTGTCGGGCCCACCACAACTACTGTTTGTTGGTGACGCTAGTCTGAAATCGATAATACGGCATCCCATGCACGCAATGCTCAGGTACGGTGCTGTGTTGTGGTTGGGCAGATGCATGGGTGCCTGTGCGAGTGCCACTGTATAGCGGCATGGGGTCTGCTACTCATCGCAGTGAGGTCATTCATTCGTGCTCTCACACTAGAAAAAAAATTGAAAAAAAATGAAAGAAAAGGAGTATGTGCGACTCCTTTCGCAATCTCCCGACTTTCCACTTGTAGGACTCCTTTAAAGAGATATGATAACTTCATTTTGAGTCCCATGACTCTCCGAAAAAAGTACAGTGACGCCCCCCCCCCCCACCCACTCTAAAAGGGAGTTCAGATGTCTCTTGAATGGGGGTTATGTAGGCAAGTCAGAACTATATAACAAACAAGTCGAACTTCTTTTTCGTACAGTGCATACAGTGTTGAATATAGGCTGAGAAAGAGTACCCCTATTTGGAAGACCTGGCGCAAGGTTAAAATTGAGAAGAACCAAAAGAAGGGACAAAGAACGCCTCGTTCTGATTCTCGGTTTCAACCTTGCCCCACGCCTTTGAAGTAATGATGCGCCCGTTGGCCCAACAAAGCGTGCAGAATATCCCCCCCCCCCTCCTTTTCCTCGTCCAGAGGCAGCGATTGCGAAGCTTGGGGAGGTGCGCAGCAGTGCTTTGTACTACGTCGTCACTCGCAGCAGACGGAGTAAGCGACAGCACATCACAACAGATGATGCAGTGTATGCGAGTCCTTGGGGACTGCTGTTGTTGTATGCTGGCTGGATTTGCGCGCTGTCTCGCGCAGCTGCGGGACTCCCCTTGTCGCGCTTGTATATCGAAGCAGTAGAAACACGCACACATCTCATCGCCTCCGAGACAGAAGTAGGCCACCGGAAGATCGGCCGCTATATGCGTGCCTCAATATCCAGAACAGCGGACGTGTCTCGCGCCATTGTAATATCGTGCGGGAAACGCGGGTGAGCGATTGCCCAAGGCCGGCGCGTGCCGTATCGGCCACGGACGCGTGCGTCTGCGCACACTTCCGCCGCTGCTGCGATTCAGATGCAGAAAAGGCGTGCTTCTATTCGGCCGGCGTCGAACACACAGGGAAAGGGTTTGCAGGTTCGTTTGATGCCCTGCTGGTATCTTAACAACAGCCGTTGTAAGATGAAGC